CCCTGTGCTCTGCTGGAGGGCCCCAGCCAAGCTGGACGGGGTCAGGATGACCCCGATTTCCCTCCAGTCTACATGTAGGAGTCAGGCCGCCCTGTGGGGCAGTGGCACCATCCCACCGCTTCCGAAGAGACGGGGTCTCTGGCGGGACAGAAACGATCTGGAGAAGGGGGGGGAGGGGGGGGGGGGGGGAAATCTGCAGATGACACCAAGCTGCTCCAGCTAGTTCAGCCCAAAGCAGACTGGGAAGAGCTTCACAAAGATCTCACGAGCTGTGACTGGGCAGCAACATGGCAGCTGAAGTGGAACGTGGATGAATGCAAAGGGACGCCCTGTGGGACGCCCGGCTCTAGTGTGATGCAGACTAACCTAGCTCTAGGCGCTCAGAGCTCTTGGCATCATTGTGGATGGCTGAGGGGATATTAATGGAAAATGGGCCGCGGCAGTGAAAAAAGCAAACGCGATGTTGGGAATAATTCCAAAAGGGCTAGAGAATGAGGCAGGACGTCTCCTTGCCTCTCCAGAAGTCCATGGAATGGCCTCAGTTTGGATGCTGCGTGCAGATGTGCTCACGTCGTCTCACCTTGGCATGGCGAAGGCTCTGAAAAGGGCGGCACGTGGAAGAGCTGCCGGGCGAGAGAACAGTAATAAGGCTTGGACTCCAGCGAGGACGAGCGAGGACGGGGTGTCGCAGGGCTGGAGAATCGTGCCTCGCGCTAACTCCGTCCCGGAACACAAGAACGAGGGTCACCACGTGACATGAATTGGTAGCAGGTTAAAACAAAAGGAGGTTTTTCTTCTCGGCATGTAAATGGTTAACTGGCTAGCACTCCCCATTCAGGCTGCCTACTGGTTCTGGTTACCCAGTGGGGGCTGGAGTAGCTCCCAGCCCAGCTGGAGCAGCCCTTCTCTGCAGTGGGGGGCTGTGACAGCACCTCGGGGTCCCCCCCGACCCTGCACCACCGTAGCAGCAAGAACAGACTGCGCCAGCCAGTGGAACGGGGGTTTATTGCTTCTCCAGGGAACAGCCCAGCACAGACGTGACGTGGCTACAGGAGCTAGGGCCGGGGTGTCTCCGCCCCCTTGGGATGGGCTGCCTGGGCCCCTCAGACTCCCAGCCCCTCCTTAGTCCGTCTCCTTCATGGTTCCAGCCCAAACACACCGTACCCCCCGCTCTAACCACTAGACCCCACTCCCTTCCCAGGGCTGGGGAGAGCGCCCAGGAGTCCTGGCTGCCAGACAAAATGCAGGAAGTGTTCTCTCCTGGGTGTGGCTCTCAGGTGGGAGCGTAGGAATCACCCCCAGCACACAAAGCAACAGCAACACAATCCCTGCTCCGTCCCCTCTCCCGCGTCCCAGACTGCACTGCGCAGGGTCACTCCGCCGGTGGCCTGGGGAAGTTCAGGGCCCCCCCATGGGGCGGCACGTCGGCGATGATACTGGGGCTGGGTGAACTTGGACTTGTCAAAGTCTGGGTTTTCCAACAATGGGGCCTGGACCAAGGTCTTCATCTGTGCGCAGAGAGCCCCCTGGCACTGCTCGGTCCAGACCACCTTGTCTGGCCTGCCCATCCTACACAGCTCACTGATGGGGGTGACCATAGAACTAAAGTGGGGCACAAACCTCCAGTAGTTCCCCACCATCCCAACGAAGGCCTGGACCTGCTTAGTCTGGGGAACCAACCAATCACCTTGGCCGGCTCTAGCTTTAAGCAGCCGTTCCCCATCTTATGGCTCAGGTAAGACACCTCGGCCATCCCCACCCTGCACTTCCCAGCCTTTACAGTCAGGCCAGCCCCCCGCAGCTGGTCCAGCACCTGGCTGGCCTGGGACACATGGTCCTCCCAGGTCTGGCTAAAGACACAAATATCATGGATGTGAGCCAGGGCAAAGCTCCCCATCCCCCGCAGCAGCTGGTCCACCAGGCGGGGGGAGGAGGCCGGAGCCCCCTTGAGAC